AGTGAAAGAGGAGAGTGAAAAAGCTGGCTTAAAACTCAACATTCAAAAAACGAAGATCATGGCATCTGGGCCCATCCCTTCATGGCAAATAGATGGGGAAACAATGGAAACAGTGACAGACTTTATTTTCTTTGGCTCCAAATCACTACAGATGGTGATTGCAGCCATGAAATTAAAAGACACTTACTTCTTGGAAGAAAAGCTATGACAAACCTAGACCACATATTAAAAAGCAGAGACATTACTTTGCCGACAAAGGTCCATCTAGTCAAAGCTTTGGTTTCTCTAGTAGTCATGTATGGATGAGAGAGTTGGACTGTGAAGAAAGCTGAGTGCCAAAGAATTGATGCTTTTGAGCTGTGGTGTTGGAGAAGACTCTTGAGAGTCCCTTGGACTGCAAGGAGATCAAATCAGTCAACCCTAAAGGAAATCAGTCCTGAATATTCAATGGAAGGACTGATGCTGAAGCTGAAGCTCAATACTTTGGCCACCTGATGCAAAGAGCTGACTCATTGGAAAAGACCCTGATTCTGGGGAAGATTGAAGGCACGAGGAGAAGGGGACAACAGAGGATAAGATGGTTCGATGGCATCACTGACTCAATGGACTTGAGTTTGAGCAATCTCCAAGAGTTGATGTTGGACAGGGAGGCCTGGCATGCTGCAGTCCATGGGGTCGCAAAGAGTCGGATATGACTGAGTGACTGAACTGAACTTACATCAGGGGAATTCTTGCCCTCTGGATCCAGTTAGGTTCTGAGAACAGGAAGCCCCACCTAGAGATCAGAGACAGGGAGAATAAGATGGAATATCCCTGCCCCTTGCCTGCCTTCTTGTGAGACCACCTTGGGGTTTCTGTGTTCCTTGATGAAGGTCACGGCTCCTCTGAAGGTGTCACTGAATACAGAGTTCTCTCTTCCAGGATCCAGTAGTGCCTGCTGTCTTCCCTCCAAACCTAGAGGTAGTAACAGCTGAACTTCACGATAATACAGAAAGTGGGAAACAGATGTGGGCAGATAAAACAAGACTGGCCATGAGTGGATAACCATTAAAGCTGGATGATATGGACATGAAGGTACTTTATACTGTCTCTACTTTTGTGTAAGTTTGGAATTGTTAAATGTGAAAAGTTAGAAGAATCGTTAGTTCAGAAGTTACTTGCTGGGACTTCAGTGTGGGCCATTGGTTGACTCTGTGCACCCAGGGCAGGGGGCACAGGTTTGATCCCTGGCTGGGGAAGAGCCCAGGTGCTGCATGATGTGGCCAAGTGAAACAGAACAAGGTAAAAGAATTACTAAAAAAAAAAATAATAATTACTTGCTGATACAGTAAAACTCATCTACTATTCCTGGATGCCACTGATATCATGAAGAAGGTCTGTGTGAAGGTTTCAGAAACATGATAGAAAAAACATATTGAAACAAAATGCAAATGACGAATGCTATTTTTATGATGGTCGAATCAAACAGCATGTTTAATGGAAAATATCAAGATGATATTATTCAGAATGTGTGTTTAGAGTATTCTTTTATGGATCAAGAAAAAAGCAAACAGATATATTACATTTATCTTTTAAAATATGTTATGAGTGGACCTTGCTTCTAAACCTAGAGAAGGGAGTGGCTACCCACTCTGGTATCCTTGCCTGGAGAATTCCATGGAGAGAGGCTACAGTCCATGGGATCAGTAAGTTCAGTTTAGTAAGTTCAGTTCAGTCGCTCAGCCGTGTCCGACTCTTTGCGACCCCATGAATCGCAGCATGCCAGGCCTCCCAGTCCATCACCAACTCCCGGAGTTTACTCAAACTCATGTCCATCGAGTCGGTGATGCCATCTAGCCATCTCATCCTCTGTTGTCCCCTTCTCCTCCTGCCCCCAATCCCTCCCAACATCAGGGTCTTTTCCAATGAGTCAACTCTTCCAATGAGGTGGCCAAAGTACTGGAGTTTCAGCTTCAGCATCANTAAGGGTGGTGTCATCTGCATATCTGAGGTTATTGATGTTTCTCCTGGCAATCTTGATTCCAGCTTGTTCTTTTTACAACCCAGTGTTTCTCATGATGTGTTCTGCATATAAGTTAAATAAGCAGGGTGACAATATACAGCCTTGATGTACTTCTTTTCCTATTTGGAACCAATCTGTTATTTTATGTCCAGTTCTAACTGTTATTTCCTGACCTGCATATAGGTTTCTCAAGAGGTGGGTTAGGTGGAATCACAGACTTGGACACAACTGAGCGACTAACACTTGCTTCTAAATAACCTAGGATAGGAAAGAATTAGAGATTACAGGAGAAGCAAGACTGGCTGTGAGTTAATATTTGTTGAACTGGGAGGATGGAGACATGGAAGTTGGTTACACTATTTTTTTTATAATTTTATCTATGCTTTAAATATCTCCATAGAGTGGTTTCAAAACATAAAACATAAACTGCATGTCCAGAATGTGACCATTTTCAGACCTAGAGAATGAATTTATGGTTACTAGGGAGAAAGCATCAGGTGGGAGGGGTAGAGTGGGAGTTTGGGGTTGACAGGTACACACTGCTGTTTTTAAAATAGATAACCAACAAGGACCTGCTATATAGCACAGGGAACTAGACTCAGTATTCTGTAAGAGCATAAATAGGAAAAGAGTTTGAAAAAGGATGGATATTTGTAAGGACATAACTGAATCACCTTGCTATATATCTGTAACTAACACATCAATATTAATCAATTATATCCCATAGAAAATAAAAATTTTTTAAATGTGACCATTTTACATTAAGTATGTATTAGCTTTTATGATTTTAGGAAGTATATTATGTTATTTCTCATTCACTTCCCTAGATTCTGCAATTTCTAACATATTCTTCCATCTCTTTCCTCTCCCCACAACCCTTAGTTTTGTCTGCTATATGGAACCAAGCTCGTGTTCCAGGAGCGAGCCTGGTATCTGGAACATAAATATTTGACTCCCATGACCAGCATGAGGATTAGGCGTCAGGTAAGAATCCCCCCCTGGAGAAGGCAATGGCACCCCACTCCAGTACTCTTGCCTGGAAAATCCCATGGATGGAGGAGCCTGGTAGGCTACAATCCATGGGGTTGCACACAGTCGGACATGACTTAGCAGCAAGCATCCCCCCGGGGTGCAGAAGAAACCCTTCATACGGCTCTTTGTTTTTTTAGAAAACAGTCCTGCCAATCTTTTGTTGGTGGCTTCTACTCATGAATTTTTATGCCTCTGGGATTTCACATCCGTGTTTTCATTGCCTACTGTGATCATATTACACTTCAGAGTTTAAGTGACAAGGAAATGATTCAAGGTTTTTTCTTTTTAAAAATTCTTTTAATTGGAGGATGATTGCTTTACAATGATGTATTCATTTCTGCTGAACAACAACATGAATCAGCTGTAAGTGTACATATATCTCCTCTTTCTTGAGCCTCCCTCCCCCACTGTTGAATGAACGTCTAATGTGTAATGGATAAGAGGGAATCAAAAGTGTTGTAAAAAAATTAAAAAGTGGCATGAAATAATTTTCATTTTCTTACTTCTTACCAAAGCCTATTAAGTCATTCTTTATATTTGGAAAAAAAGACCTGGTGGTATTTTTCAGTAGTTGCAATTGGATTTCAATTTGACAACCACAGAGCACCTGAAAATGAAGTAAGATCCAGCAAATCATCACCAAGATGCCGCTCTAGAAAAAGACCATCAAACAAGCATAATCATCCAGAAGCATTTTCTGGATTTCCCCTTTCTCCCAGGCCCCCTGTTAGATGCTAAAAAATACACACAGGTATATTGTCGGTCTCTGCATTCAAGGGAGCCTATTATAGCTGGAGACACAAAGCTGGCTTTATTAACACAAATAACACAACAGAATGGAGCTCTTTAATGAACCTGACCACAAGAATAATCTCAGAGTTCAGTGGACACTTAGGAGTTAATGGGCTTTCCTGGTGGCTCAGACAGTATAAAGAATCTGCCTGCAATACAGAAGACTCAGCTTTGATCCCTGGGTTGGGGAGGTCCCCTAGAGAAGGGAATGGTAACCCACTCCAGTATTCTTGCCGGGAGAATATCATGGGTAGAGGAACCTGGTGGGCTACAGACCATGGGGTTGCAAAGAGTCGGACACGACTGAAAGACTAACACTAGGAATTAATGGTGTTCTTTCTCAACCTTGAAGAGGGGAAAATTCACAGTGGAGGAGGAGATCCAAATGAGAAGGAAGAAATGCAAGTGAACCTTCAGAAGGGGTTGTTGTTGTTGCTCAGTTAGGTCCGACTCTGCAACCCCATGGATTGCAGCACGCCAGGCCTCCTTGTTCATCACCAACTCTCGGAGCTTACTCAAACTCACGTCCATCGTGTTGGTGATGCCATCCAGCCATCTCATGCTCTGTCGTCTCCTTCACCTCCTGCCTTTAATCTTTTCCAGCATCAGGGTCTTTTCTAATGAGTCATTCTTCACATCAGGTGGCCAAAGTATTGGAGCTTCAGCTTCAGCATCACTCCTTCCATTGAATATTCAGGACTGATTTCCTTTAGGATGAACTGGTTGGATCTCCTTGCTGTCCAAGGGACTCTCAAGAGTCTTCTCCAACACCACAGCTCAAAAGCATCAATTCTTTGGCACTCAGCTTTCTTCACAGTCCAACTCTCACATCCATACATGACTACTGGAAAAACCAAAGCTTTGACTAGATGGACCTTTGTCGGCAAAGTAATGTCTCTGCTTTTTAATATGTGACCTAGGTTTGTCATAGCTTTTCTTCCAAGAAGTAAGTGTCTTTTAATTTCATGGCTGCAATCACCATTTGTAGTGATTTGGAGCCAAAGAAAATAAAGTCTGTCACTGTTTCCATTGTTTCCCCATCTATTTGCCATGAAGGGATGGGCCCAGATGCCATGATCTTCGTTTTTTGAATGTTGAGTTTTAAGCCAGATTTTTCACTCTCCTCTTTCACTGTCATCAAGAGGTTCTTTAGTTCCTCTTTGCTTTCTGCCATAAGGCTGGTGTCATCTACATATCTGAGGTTATTGACATTTCTCCCAGCAATCTTGATTCCAGCTTGTGCTTTATCCAACCTGGCATTTTGCATGATGTACTCTGCGTGTAAGTTGAATAAGCAGGGTGACAATATACAGCCTTGACATGCTCCTTTCCCAACTTGGAACCAGTCCATTGTTCCATGTCCGGTTCTGACTGTTGCTTCTTGACCTGCCTACAGGTTTCTCAGGAGGCAGGTAAGGTAATCTGGTATTCCCATCTCTTGAAGAATTTCCCACAATTTGTTGTGATCCACACAGTCAAAGGATAGTCCATGAAACAGAAGTAGATGTTTTTCTGGAATTCTCTTTGCTTTTTCTATGATCCCAGTGGATGTTGGCAATTTAATCTCTGGTTCCTCAGCCTTTTCTAAATCCAGCTTGAACATCTGGAAGTTCTCAGTTCAGGTACTGTTGAAGCCTAGCTTGCAGAAATTTGAGTGTTACTTTGCTAGTGTGTGAGATGGGTGCAATTGTGCAGTAGTTTAAACATTCTTTGGCATTGCCTTTCTTTGGGATTGGAATGAAAACTGAGCTTTTCCAGTCCTGTGGCCACTGCTGAGTTTTCCAAATTTGCTGGCATATTGAGTAAAGCACTTTAATAGCATCTTCTTTTAGGATTTGAAAAAGCTCAGCTGGAATTCCATCACTTCCAACTAGCTTTATTTGTAGTGATGCCTAGGGTTAGTAAAGTGAGCAAAATCTTAAAAATGGGATATGCTAAGAAACAGTGAACACCCCAGTTTAACTGAAGTCTCAAGCAATAGAAAAACTTGGAGGTATGTCCAAGGGATGTGGGGAAAAGCCTATTGAAAGAGCTCCCAGGGGCCAAAGCTGGAACACTTAGAGCAATAAAATAGACAATGTAGTTTTGGATTATAACCCAAAGTATAAAGTTACTAAACATAAGCTAGTAATCATGTAAGCAAATAGTTAAACAAGTAATATAAATGGGATAAAAGAGATAAAGTAAAAGTGTTAGTCACTCAGTCAGGTCTGACTCTTTGTGGCCTCATGGACTGTAGCCTGCCAGGCTCCTCTGTCCATAGGATTCTCCAGGCAAGTACTAGAGTGGGTCTCCATTCCCTTCTCATGGGATCTTCCCGACCCAGGGATCAAACCTGGGTCTCCTGCATTGCAGGCAGACTCTACCTTCTGAGCCACCAGGGGAGCCCTAAGTCTTTCTTAAAGAATTCCAAATGATAATGGCCCCTTTAGGAGCTTCATTTTCCTTCCCTTGAGAATGAGTTGGACTTAGAGACTTCCTTCTATTTTAAAGAATCAAGTTTGGAAACGGAAAAGAGTTTCTTTACAGTGGAGAAATTGGAGATCCCATGTTAACCACATGATTAGGGTTAATATCATCAGTAGTAAGTCATGTTGGTGATATGGACCTCCGATATGATGTGATGAGAAGAGCACTTCTCTCTTCCCAGAACCCACGGCCCCAGTCCAATCAGAAAAAAACATGTCACACAAAACTGAACTGAAGGGTGGTCCGCACAGTACCAGGCTGGTACTGTTCACACTGTCAGTCGTTGGAAAACAAGGAGGGACCGAGAAAGCATCAACAGCCAGACGGACAAGGAGCTGCGGTGACTGAATGCAGTGTGGCACCTGGGTGGCATCCCAGGACAGGGAAAGGACATTCATAGAAAAGCTGAAAAATCTGAATAAAGTCTGCATTGGTCAGTCCTTGTTGTTTAGTCGCTAAATCCTGTCTGACTCTTTTGGGACCCCATGGACTATAGCCCATCAGGCTTCTCAGTCCATGGACTATCACAGGCAAGAATACTGAAGTGGGCTGCCATTTCCTTCTCCAGGGGAGCTTCCTGACCCAGGGATCGAACCTGTGTCTCTTGTGTCTCCTGCATTGGCAGGCAGATTCTTTACCCCTGGCGCCACCTGGGCTACAGTCCATGGGGTTGCAAAGAGCTGGACACGACTGAAGTGACTGAGCAGGAGCACTATACTCCAATAAAATTATTTATTTCAAAAAAAAATCAAGCCAATCTCCCAAGCCTTTCCTGGCTGTGATAAGTACCTGCTTTCTTTTGTCTGGCACGTCAGTGTTGGCAGAGTTGGTCCGCTTTCATGAGCCAGTGTAATCCCTATTCACAGGCTTTAGTGTGAATAGCTGCTAATCCACTGTAGGGATAGGGAAGCTGAGGCTGATTTGTGACGGGTAGTGAGAGGGGAAGTTTCTAGCATTCCCAGGCCTGAACTGTAGGGTGCGGTGGTTCCACCTTTGTGCCTCATTGACGGACCGTGGCTCAAAGGCGGTCTAGTGACGGTGCCCCCAGGGCTCCATCAAGAAAAGAGCTCTGTACTTACCATTACGTCCTTATGTGTCTACAACAGTTGCATGCTTTGTTCTTGGAAAGCTTAGTGTCTGGGCCTTATCCCATTTCAGTTTTCATCAACCTTGATGTTTGACTAATTTTACTTTAGATAATTGTCAGCATTAAGCAGAAACTATCAGCCGACTCTCATTTTCATGAGGAAAAATCTTTCAAAATAAGTTACCAATCATGTATCTCCACTAAAACCAACTTCATGTTGCTTAAAAACAGATGAAATGGAACAAAAACTCCAGCTTTTTAAAATGACGGAGTTTTGTGTGTATGTTTTCCTGAATACAGGTGTCTGCATCTTCTTTTTTATTATTATTAATTTTTTAATTTTTAAGACATTTTTAATTGAAAGATAATTGTTTTTACAATATTGTGTTGATTTCTGCATACATCAACATGAAGCAGCCATAGGCACACATATGTCCCCTCCCGCTTGAACCTCCCTCCCACCTCCCACCCCATCCTGTTGTAGCCACGCGTTCCAGGAAACAAACTCACACAGAAGGACAGTGCAGATAGTGGAGTGCAGTTTATTACACCAGCGGGCCCAAGGCAGAGTCTCCTCTTAGCCAAGGACCCCGACCAGTTTTTG